ATTGAATTGTTTAAAACATAGTTAACTTTTACATTCAATCATATCTTGCAAACATCCATTATGTCAAGACGTCTATCAATATCTTTCTGACAAAGTAGCATTATTCATCTTATAATTAGTTTCAAAGATATTATTTGAAGTGAAAAAAATGATATTTTGAAAATGTAAAAAGTAGTATAAAAACTATAGATGTAGTATAAAATTAATTTTTTGAAAGAATGTATAGTAAAAATGATTTTTAGATAAATTATTCAAACGTATGCTTAATTTATTCATGATTTAATGTATTAAAATCTGTATTTTTAAAAGTGCGTTTAGGAGGGAGATACAGGTGAAACACTAGCCTTGATAGTGAGTGCAAAATTAAACGACAAATTATCAAGCCGACCGTTTAATGTGCGATACGGTGTGCCTAGAGTGCTTTATTGATTTTTTGGAAGTCGCTTTATTTAACTTTAGCTTGAAATTTTTAAAAGACTTTATTTTTATAAAACTAAAAAATAAAAAAATGTTAGAAATTTCAAACAAAATAGCGAACAAGGAAATTTTTATTAAAAATCTGTTTGACATAATTTTTTAAAAGTCATAAGGAGCTTTTAAAATTTAAAAGTTGTTTTTGATCTATTTCACTAATTTTATGAAAGCACTTCTTTTAGTTAGAAAAGTTTTTAGAGAAAACTGATCCAACGTGACTTTCTCGCAAATTACTTTTGAAATAGAAAGCTCTTTTAAAAATTAATTTTCAAATAAAAATTTAGTCAACTTCATTCAAAAATTCTTTCGAAACATATGTAAAAACATACCAAACAAACTCTAAGTAAAATTTGTCTAGTTGAAAGTTGAAACTATAAAAAAAAAAGGTCTAAATTTTGTATTTTGAAAACTTTAAAATTGAATAGTTGATTAGTTGTATGAATTATTAATTAAATATAGTATTTTATAATTTTAGGCATTTGATATGTATTATTTTAATTATTAATGAAATAACTTTTAAAATGATTAAAATTTTAAAATAATATTAAAAATAAGAAAAATATTGTTTTTACGATGACAGACTTGCCCAAGCTTGTATTGGTTCAAGAAACTCACCTGTATAGATGCAAATGAATAGAAGAATTTTTTACTGAAGAGCAACGCCTTTTTAGTTTGATTTGTCATTTTCTATTTTTAGTTTTCGAAAATGTCCAAAACGTGTTTGATCACTCGTTTCCAAAAATGCATTTTCGAAAATAAGGAAAAATTTATAATTGAAAACTTAGAACAATTTTTTTTTCCATTTTGATTGTTTTCATTTAAAAAACTAACAGCCTGTTTGAGAGTTATTTTTTGCCCAAAAAATTGATTTTTTGATCGTTATTCCACTATTTCAACTGTCATATGTGACTTCTTCTCTCACAAGTGAACCCCACATTTCTCAACGGTCAAAAAGTCAATTCTCAAAATAATTCTCAAACGGGCTCTAAAAATAAGGAAAACACTCAAAACATGACTTTTTCATTTTTTTTACATAGGGAATACTCAGCGGTATTTTTAAAACAGCAAATTCACCAAATTTAAAATATATATTATTTGATAATATATTAGCATAAAATTATTATGTTTTACTAAATAATCAAATTAGTTGAATAATTGTCATAAAAAAATTTCTAAAAATTATTATTTATTATTTTATTTTTGTAGCAAGAAAAAATAGTAAATTCACTAAGTTTAAAATATATATTATTTTGTAATATATTAACTTAAAATTATTATGTTTTACAAAATAATCAAATTAATTGAATAAATGTCATAAAATAATTTTTAAAAATTTTAAACTCAACGCATTTTCTAATTTTCTATTTTGAGAAATATTTCTTCAAAATGACAAATCAAATATGTTTTCTTTAATTCGAAAATAGTAACTTAATGAAAAAATAATAATTAAAATGAATTTAAAACTGAAACAGAAAACGGAAATTCAGACCAAACGCACCCTCGTTCTCTCTCCTCTGTTGCCGCTTCTCTGTATAATGGCAACATTCTTGAAAACCCACGTAAACTTCCAAGAAGAACAACAAATCACCGCCGAAATCCAAGAAACCACTCAAATCCACCACCTAAGCAGCCGCCACCCGCCGTGGTATTCACCAGAAACTGGAATATACAAAAGCAAACACCCCTCCATTGAATTGCCGTCGGAGCCTTTTCTTGATGTGGTGTCATTTATTTTGTCCCAGAAGCATAATGGAATCACTGCTTTTATTGATTCTTCATCTGGGTTTTCAGTTTCTTATTCGCAGTTTTTCTCATTGGTGAAATCCATGGCCAGTGGACTACACCAATTAGGTGTAAAACAAGGTGATGTAATCTTTATTTTGCTGCCAAATTCTATTTACTTCCCTGTAATTTTCTTGGGTGCTCTGAGTTTAGGTGCAATTGTGACTCCAATGAATCCATTGAGTAGTTTGTTAGAGATAAAAAAACAGGTTGTTGATTTAAATCCAAGATTTGCATTTTCGGTTCCTAATAAAGTGGATGAATTGAGAATTGCATTAGGAGGTTGTTCTGTAGTTGGGGTTCCGGATTATGTAAATTTTGATAGAATCCCCAGTGAAAGTGATTATCTTCACAAGATTATTTTCAGTGATCCACTTATGGCTCCAAGGCCTAAAATTAAGCAGCATGACACTGCGGCGATTTTGTATTCATCAGGCACCACTGGAAGTGTTAAGGGTGTTGTGTTAACACATAGGAATTTTATGGCCATGATGGAACATTTTGTAAGATTTGAATCTTCGCAGTATGATTATCCGAGCACAAGTAATATCTACTTGGCTACTGTCCCAATGTTCCATATTTATGGACTTTCCCAATTTGTTATGGGATTATTGTCATTGGGTACTACTGTTGTTGTCATGAAGAAATTCGATGCTGATGAGATGGTAAGAGCTATAGATGGATACGGTGTAACTCATTTTCCCACTGTGCCGCCTTTATTGATGACATTAATAAGGAAAGTCAAGAGTTCTCCAGGCAATAGTTTTGGGAGCTTGAAACAGGTTTCATGTGGTGCAGCTTCATTGAGCTCGAAATTGATAGAGGACTTTATTCATACTCTCCCTCATGTTGATCTCATTCAGGTACTCGTTTGTGTATAATGTTAAGCGGTTTTAGGCTTTTTAGCTTGCATGTTGTGATCTTCTTTATAAGGTGCTGGACTTATCCGAAATCCTATATTTTAGTTTTGTTAGATGCAATCTAGTACAGGAAAATAAAAAATGAATTTCTTCGTTTGGATATGACTTTTTTTTT